GTGGAAACTTTTGGACCAGCAGTTCAGTGATTGCGTGAACATACAAATAGAGACGTGCATAGCTTCTGGTTATGACTGCCAGTCCTCGGTGGAAACCAGACTTCAAAGAGATCTCGGGGCTGTAAGAAGGCAAGGTCTTCCCTGTGCCGCAGGTTATCCTCGTTTGCGTTGAGTAGCAACAGCCTTTTCAGAGGTTCATCTCCAACCATTTTACGGCGGTTGCGTAGTTGACTATTGTTGTTCCAACGTAGGTACGATGTGTTCCCTGTTTGTCCATCGCTACATGTAATGCATAATGACTTGTTCATCTGCCGCACTGGGGAAACAGCAGCATTTCCCACGATTTCAGCGACTGTCTGGGGTCCAGGTCACCTATCGAACATAAACGTGTAACAGCTGAAAGCTTTCAGAGTCCGCTTAAAACTGCACAACTTTGCGTTGTGATTAAGACGCTGACTAACGAATCGCGTCCATTTTTCCAGTGTGGGCACAACCGCACGGTTTTAGGTTTATAGCCAATTCAGTCGTACACAATAAACCATACAATTCATTTCGCCTGATCGTAACTCGGTTCAGCCTCACCTGTTTCTGTCTGCTTAGGAGTGCGGTGAGGAGAGAGAAATTTAAGCAGGACAAGACTCCACTGCATTTGAGCAGAGGGAATCTTTGGCTACACAACAGCATCAGTATTATCTAGTACAGCATATACACATTCATGGAGTCTGTGCCTTGAGCAATTACCGACTCGTAACCGAAAGAAAAGGTTCTTCAACCCTCAAATAAGATTATGACCTCCAACTTGAAACTAAACAGCCGATTTACACCGATACTGACGTAGAGAATGATTCATACGAGGTATAAAGCATTTTATTTTATTCGCTGACATAACATTACACTCGCGTTCTAGCGTCTTACTCATGTTGTTCGGTGGAGAGGTTATAAAACGTGCAACAACTGCAACGGATGACGAAAAAGAAAAAATTTGTAACGGTTGAAATGTCGGTGTCTTCCTAACACTTTCACGATGGAGCCATTTCTGGCTCCCTTCTTCTCGTGAAATTAATCGTGAGGAACTGATCTCGATTTTCATGTCATCAGCCAAGAGTGCCTTATTAAAAATACAGAGACGATAGCAACCATATGACAAGCGCAGTGCATAGTTTCTTGCTTCTCGTTTGTCGACCAACCATGAAATGGGAGTGACCCCAACCACGGCTCGAACCCGAGACCTTCCGGTTCTGAGTTGGACGCTCTTCCGACTGACCGATTGAACCCGGTCAGAAAAGGTACACTGCCCCGTGGCAGGCAGAAATCTACGATCTGGCCGGATCTTCACCCATATCACGATTAGCGCTGAACGACTGGTACCATAAAAGTGAGTCACTCCTCTCGAACGTGATCGAACCGCGTATAACAGACACGTCAGACGTTTAAAAGAACTACGAACGTCCTGCTTCCATCAGCTTATCGAATCTCATGATATCTGGGATTTATGGGAAATCAAAGGTCTGAAGAATTTAACGATTAAGTTGCCACTCACCTCAATACGCGTCTGTTGTTATCGTCAATTAAAACCACAGAGTTTCAGACGGCCGGTGCTTAAGATTAATCGTCTCATAGAATCACGACGACTAACGCGTCTTCTAGATTTATACTGCGCACCGCTAACTGCAGTTGCAAAGGTCGCTTCCTCGCTACAAAATTTCCTGACGGCAAAGGTTTCAGCTTCCAGTGTTTACCTTCAGGCACTCGCGGACACAGGACGGCGACGGTAGTTGTATCAGCTGCCGGTCCTGTTTCCGAACAGCTTAACGGAGAAAGGACTCAGCCACAGCCTTGTTAACCTCTAATGCTTCCTTCCTTTCCACGTCCGCTCGTTCATACTGTTGCTTAGGTGACGTCACTGACTACTGTTTAATCCGTTCCTCGTTTAGTTACACATTACTTACTTTTGAAATTCATTCACGGGTGAGCGAGTGATCACAGATTTGTACAAAAACTTTGAAACCGTATTCAATACGTCGCAAAGCAAGAAGTTTTTCATCAGAAGAGATATGTCAAATTTAGTTCTGGACGTTTCGAATGGACCTTCACTGGTCTTCATCAGCAGAGCCTTTACGTTCCATCACAGATGTTCGGTGTTCTAAGATCTCCGAAGAGTTTACTGCTATGTTTTGGATATCTTCATTCATTTTCATTCATTCTTTTTCCAAACTCGCTCATCCTTTTTAATCACGACAGCGGCCCCCTCAGAAAACTCTTCCAATGGGGCATCCATAAAACAGTCTGGCCCTCAGGTTACCTTTGGAACGTTCTGCTCCGTAATTGTGCCCAATTGTTCGCCCTGCGGATCTCTTCCGTGGCACACTCATTCGCCGGTCAAAACATCGCAACTGCGAGCCATCGACCTAGAGAATGAGCAGCTTGCAATTAAGGGCATCTCAAGCTTTGTCGAACCTAATCAGACCAGCAACGCTTCGAAAAAAACCTCATTTTTTGCTGTTGGAATATCGTATATTACACATTCGATCAATATTCAGCATTCATGACCATGACATGGTAATGGGATAGAGGGGGCGGTGGGACGGGCGCTACAGACTTGAAGACGACCAGTTTTGCATTATGGCTTAGCTCCTTTTTCATCACTACTGACCGGTTTAGCACCCGCTTTACAATGCTCGCATGTACCCCTTTGTTATTAAAAATATTTGTCGTGTGTGATGCTGAAAACCGTTTCAGTGCATTTATGAAAATGTTCCACTGAAGTATCAGTCTCTAATCTCCCCACCTCGAAATTAAATACCTGAAGTAACAGTAGGAATAATGTCACTTGAAACTTTCAAAAGAAACTATTTTTCTCATTTACTGGGCCATTCCCTGTTCATTCCGAAAGTAACTTTCGCTTTTCTCATCCACAGCCACGTTTATTCTAAGATCGGATGCAACTGACTGGTTTGCCTTCAATTATTCAATCGTCTGACATTTCGGTGTCATTAAGCTCCCTGCTGTGAAGTATTCATGTGGCAATGTGATTCTGAAACACGTTCTTTAACTTATACGTAAAACCGCTGGCAAAAAGCCATGGTTTTCAATCACAGTAACCTGACGGCCAATAAGTGCATGAAGACCACCGCCCATACAACAATTTCGAGTAAACTCCCATCTCGTACGTAGCAAAAATTGATTTGCACCACGAGGATGAAACTTAATGGTAAATACATAGATGCTACCTCTAAATTATCCTTCCTACATAATCACCTCCTCCTCAGAATCGAACATTTCATTGAAGTCACTGAGGATAAATAGTGACCGAGGCAGTTGGTCCTGTATCCGGGTAAGGTACCAATGAATGCAACTTGTTCAGCCACTGTAGTGACTGCGAAGCTTGCCACGGACCTAGAAACTTAACGTTAGAAAGTAGAGTATTGACGGCGAAATGACGTAACCTCTCATTAATTCTGACGCAGTTCTGCTGAGAGAACCATATCCAATTACTTCGCTGACAAGAGAACAAAATTTGAAATTTGGAATCTCAGAGTTAGGTTATGCAGACAGATCATACCACGAACGTAAACTATTAAACAGTCCCCAAAATACCAGTGGGATCAATGAAAACTATTTATAAAAGTCACCAAGTAAAATGGCAAAATAAAAGCAGTTTTGCGAGGATTCGATAACATACTAACTTTGTTTTCGATTGATTCATAAGCTACGCTCGCTGATTGTCAACTATTGATTAATATTCGAAATATGCTAAATCTGCACGCAAGTGCAACTTAGTGATCTTGAGACTGACGTGGCTAGGAAAGATGACATAACGCATTTATAACTAATGTTTTCCAAGCGATTTAAATTTCACTGCGATTAGTTTCCAGTATATTCCTACAGGATCCGGCAGCGTCACGTTGTTTTCAGAAGGCAGAAGTTACGCTTTATCAAGCTCTTCTAAGAGAGAGAGAGAAACGGGGCCCTTGTCTCCTCCCCCTTCCCCAGTTTATTGCTTTGATTCAGGAGCATGCAGTGACGGTCTGATTTTTCAAACAAATTATAAAATTTGTCACCCACATACATGCATTTATTCTAAGTTGAAGGCCAGCTAGGATAACAGCTTCAAGGCATTTTTCCAACGATTCCCGTCCTGAATTCGAAAACACGACAACGTTAAGGTGGGGATTTACCGAATCTTAAGCGTCGTCACAGGTCTACCCTGTGACCACCTGACATGCGGCAAAGTGGCAAGTCAATCATCAGAGTCTCGTATACAACATCCAAATGACGTGTCAAACCACATCAACTGCCATATCGATATCGATGAGTGAGAAGAGAAAACTCCCAAGCGACAACACCTCAAATTTGGCACTCCGAAGCTAGTCGAGCAAAGTCAGATCAGCAGTTCTTCGAAGAACTTCAGAAACTTCGAAGGAAGTTCAACGGTTTACATCCATGATCACTTTCCTATGGTCAATTTCCCCAGTACTGGTGTTCATAAGTGAGGGTAGGTGTGTAAACAGATTTAAAGACGGCTAGCTTCGCATTACTGCTAAGATCTTTCTTCATTGTAACAGGTCTGTTTATCTCCCACACTACGTCGATCGTCCGGTCCATTCATCAATTATCCATAACTTCCTGAACATAAGCTCCTGTGCACTTTCTTCTGGCATGCCATGCATACTTCGGTCGTTGTTCATCCCCCGCATCGTGACGTAGATACGAAATCGAACTTATGACTAATAACAAAAAACAGTTCACCGAAATGCCGCGGTTATTACTTTGTTTAAACAACTGCTTCTCAAGGCTTCTAAAAGTTAGTAGTATCAGGTATACTGAATTGCATTACACAAATTTTTAATAAATCCACGCTGTTCAAAGTTCGCAATGAAGTACTGTAATGTGTTCCTTTTAGCGGCTGTTAGTGTTTATTGACTTCCGGGTATCGGTCAGAAAGAAATCATTTAAAAATCGACAAACGTTTTACATATCGAAAAGTAGCTGTGTAGCATCAATTTATTAATGTAAATTAAATTCATTTAACGGGTTATTTTATCTAAGGCAAAAGAGTAGCTGCCACGTATGGGCTACAAGGTTACCATACGACCCATTAAAGAGACCACAGCCGCATGCATAGAACAACGTGGCAGTAAGTTTCGTAAGTTCCGACATCACGACCGCATCAAGGGCCAACATTCCCTCGAATGAGTACAGGTCATCGACTTGTCACTCGTCTTTCAGCCGCTTGCACCAAAACATGCTTAGGTGCACCGGTTCCGGTTCCTTGACTGATCTTGTTCGTCACTACCGGGGATCATATCCGTTTGAACCCGATAGTTACGCTAGTCAGCAGCGTGCGACGACTTGTCAGGTCGAACTGATATGTTCAAAATGTAAAGTAGCAAAACCCGATAAACTCCTAACAAATCATTTACATTTACGGTCTTACCTCTAGCGTATTTTTAATAATTAACCGAGCTCCACCGATCGCTGCACCACCACCTTGCTACCAGAGACAGAACCGTAATGGAGACCTACGGTTACGAACAGCTGCAGTTCCAGATGCCTCTTACATCATTTTATTGCCTTGAACAATAACTTGCCTGTTACTAACGGAGCTATAGGGAACAAGTCTCCTTAACAGTTTTCATATGATCAAAAGTGAACTTGTAGGTCAGAGTAGGTTAATGAACGTGTAACTCTTTCACAATCTATGTTCCTACGCAAAAGTACTGCCTGATTGCTTCCGTGAATCTAGAAGGCCTTGAACCGCTAAAGCAGACTATAGCCCCAGAATATATGAGAACCAACAACTCATATTAATTAAGAACTTAATAAGAAAAGTCATCGAGAGCCAGAAAAAAATCTATTTGATAAATACGAGGCAAAGCAAAGTCATTCTTTAGTGTCAGGCTTCGACTGGACCTGTCACTAGTTAGTAGCCTTCAGCCAAGATCCATTGTTTGTTCTTAACAGTCCGTGACCTACCACTCAATGCGTGATTCAGCCGCTCAATCAAAACAGTTGGATATGGGTAGCGATCACACTTATAAAAAGCAGATTATCTTGAAGTAGTGTCATTGTCCGATGGGCAAATAAACGAATGTACCACTGAATAGGACAGAACCCTGACGAAAACAACAGTGACCAATCAACCGACTAGCATATCATGCATGCATCAGGGCAATTTAGTTATTATGACCGCTGCACTAACGAATTATGATCCCTGACTATGATGGAGTCACCCTGATCCAAAAACGGTGGGTGGGCTCGAGGAAGCTGTTACGGCCATGTATCCCGTAAATTGCTTCTAGACCCTGGTCAGAACTCAGCTGCTACTGCGTACAGAGGCTGTGAGAGCATTTATATATGAAATTATGCTGCCTGTTTGACCATAAAACCAAACGAATACATCACTGATGGAAGACAGTCCGAGGGGTCCAGCGACGATAGCGTTCAGGACGAAATCATGCCTCTGACTCGAAAAATCTAAAGGAAGCTCAGTTTCAGTAAAGTACCACTTTTGGTTCCATACGAGGTAGCAGTAGAATACGGGATTAGAAACCCGATGGAAAGACGCTAACATAAGGCTCGTTTCGTACTTAGGTTGCTAGAATGCCACTGACCCGTTAAACATGTTTCGTGAAGCAGAGCGCAGCATTATGTCGCTGGTAAAAGTACAGTGGAGTATGCACTTTACATTTTCTAGTTGTTAAATTAACACGGAACTTTAAAGAGTAGACTATCATATGCTACGTATAACCTCGAAACATTGGGATCCGTCGTTCGTAGTTGTTCTACTTAAGGGCAAATGCACCATGAACTTAACTGCACTATTCTGCATTAGTGATTATTGCTGTCCTAAAACGAAAGAACGTTCATTTCAGGACGGAAACGGGACGATAACGACTAAGGAGCTGGGAATCGCCATGCGTTCATTGGGGCAAAACCCGACCGAGCAGGAGCTGTTGGACATGATCAACGAGGTGGACATCGATGGTAGCGGCACGATCGAGTTTTTCGAGTTCTGCCAGATGATGAAGCGCATGAACAAGGAAAACGACTCAGAGATGATCCGTGAGGCGTTCCGGGTGTTCGATCGCGATGGCAATGGTTTCATTACCGCGCAGGAGTTCCGCTACTTCATGACGCACATGGGCGAGCAGTTCACCGACGAGGAGGTTGATGAGATCATCAGGGACGTGGACATTGATGGCGACGGTCAGATCAATTACGAGGAGTTCGTCAGGATGATGACCCAGAAATGAACGGGGCCAAACGACAATCGACGACCGTCGTCATCGTCCTCGCCAGCAGCCCCATAACTAAAGTCTAAAGCAGTCCCGAAGTCATTGTCACCGTCGTCGCTCCCCATGAACCACCGTCCCACCTATCTGACCGCTTACAATGACTCATACCTCTACCCCCCTTCGCCATTCATTTGACGGGCTTCTACGTACAGTCTGCTTTATGCGTGCACGTGATAAAACCGATATCATATGAAAACGCTGTACATTGTTCTTGTTCATTCTTTATTTCGAGCACATACGGCTTTGTTGTTGCTGCTGTTGGCTGGTGCTGCAGAAAGGCACTGGTCCCTTTCCGAAACTATGTGTATTCGGTGCGTGAGGTGGTGCAGGATAAACGACTATGACGTGGTCCGCGCAACCGATCGGAGGTCTTCGACCAGCGGCATCCGCGTCGCTTAAACGGCGGTATACAATGAGTTGCGTTTTTCTTTCGTAATCATAAATTATGAAACGGAAATAAACCTCCAAGTCTATTGTAGCATTTACTGCGTTGTTCTTTTCTCATTTGGTTTAGGTTTCATTCAGCCGAATGCTTTTCCTGACTCCAACCATCGACATGAATTTTCTTTAGTCAGGGAAGACGAAATGAGATGTACGAAATCAAGGTAAGATTCTACGACCTTTCGTAAGGTACAGATGAAGTTTATTTCGATGATGTCCAATCAGAGCGACTGTTGGGTCATCAATAGCGAGTCATCCAAACCTCCGGTTCATAAACGAGCAGGTTCAAACGAACTCAGAGACCGGCTCCTGGATAGGTTTGACAAAACGATCCAAAAACAAATGAAAATTTTCTCGCCTGCGAACCATGCCCTGGGCGCAGACTCGTTGGAGGACATATAAAATGTAGAAAGACCTCGTTGAAGAAAACCTGCGAGCATAGCAAAATCTCAATCTTTGGTATCACTTCTAACGGTCAGATATCACAAATCTGGGTTATGCTGCTGTTTAAGCGCAGTTAGCCGCAGATGACGATGTCAAAGTTACAACAATCAATAATGACGTCTGCAACCAGGACATTGCACGCGTGGTTTGAATAGCTACTAAGATGTTTGTCCAGCTAACAAAATTCAGCACTGCTACTGTTACTGTTTATTATTCATAACCGTCGCTCTACTCAGAATTAGATAGATACAGGCTTGTAACACTATACTTTCTTTTCCCTTTTCCATTTTCTTATTGTTCAATTTTTTTCCCTCTCTCATCATTTCCACTATTCCTCTTCACCTTATTTTCTCTTCTTCTAGCTCTTCGACTCATCGTACTTTCTCTCCTTCGACCCCTTCTTGTTCCTTTATCCTCGTAATCTTTATTCTTCCATTCATCATCTGCTTTATCTTTCTTTTTCTTCTTCCTTCTCTCTATTCGCTTCTCTCTTGTTTCTTCTTACTCTTCTTCCTGCTGTTTCTCTCGTCTTTCACTTTTTGCAAATATTTACTAATTGATTTGTAAACTTTATTCCCTGTTCAGATGATTTTTCCGACGTTATTTCACCGTGAAGTGAACTTTCAGCGACAAACAACGGGCGATGACTTTTGATTGTAACGTTAAGGTCTATAGTCAAGATGTTTAATTCCAAGAGCGACTTTCTAAGGGCACAAAATGACCAGTCCCCCCATTTCTATCAACTCACGCACATCGTTCTAGAATACTACGCAGTACTCTAGTCATGCAAGTAAATAGCGGTTTGACAAGATCGAGACACGAGATCAGGCATCTCAAATGCCCACTGGGTGATTAATCTGTTCTTAATCGATGCCGATCATTCATTTCTTTCCTTATATGGATTTGAAAGTATTATTACTAAGGCGCAATCGGATGTAGGGTGACTTCTATTTTAAAGTTCAATTTTTTAAATTAATGCATTACATGTTATGCTAATTTTCTGTCAGCCATCAGATGGACCATATCGAATGAATTGCAGACGTCAGGCGTAAGTCTCGAGCTCTCTTATATCACCACCCTAGAACTCGATGGTGTCGGCGTTGAATGCAGGCTCACCAGTTGTCACCTGCTCTTTAGCTGGTTGACAAACGCAAGTCGGATGACTTGATGCTTCAAGGAAAATTTTACG